AGATGATCATGTGATTTTTTTCTTTCCTTTTATTTATGTGGTGTATTACGTTGATGGATTTTCTAATGTTAAACCATCCTTGCATACCTGGTATGAATTCTACTTGGTCGTGGTGTATTATTTTTTTGATGTGATACTGAATTCTATTGGCTAGAATTTTGTTCAGAATTTTTGCATCTGGGAATCTACATTTTATTTCCATTCTCAGACCCAGTGTTATAAAACGACCCTGAAACCACACCATTTAACTAACACCTTCCAGGTAGGTTCAAGATGAACAGCAAACATAGAAGAAGAAAAAAATTAGACTGTTTTTTTCTTTTCTCCCCACCCTTACTTTTAGTCTTTGAGGCAATCCTGTTCATAGGTGAACAGACTGAGTAGAACAGAGCATACTGTTATGGGGATCTTCATGGATGGCTTCTTCAAGATAAGAATCACATAGAGAAAATCCTCTAAACCAACCATAAGAGCAAAAATACTTCAAAGGCAACCAGAAGTTAGTTTTGGATTAACACAACCACTGTTCTTTATCAGCTCTCAATATAGATGAGTAATGGCTGTTTTTCCTATCAATTAACTTTTGGTAAGGCTCTTGATTTGTTATATCTGACATGCTTAAGTAACCAAGATCTTAGACTTTTCTTCTGATAGATGGCCACCTTACTGTCTGGAAGGCCATAATTAGTGGTTATTGGGATACATGAAAGGTTGGCAGTTCAAACCTATCAGCGGCTCCATGGGAGAAAAGACCTGGTGATCTGCTCCCATAAAGATTTCAGCCTAGGAAACCCTATGGGGCAGTTCTACTCTGTCCTATAGGGTTGCTGTCTTAGTTATCTAGTGCTGCTATAACAGAAATACCACAAGTGGGTGGCTTTAACAAACAGAAATTAATTCTCTCACAGTTTAGGAGGCTAGAAGTCTGAACTCAGGGTGCCAGCTCCAGGGGAGGACGTTCTCTCTCTGTTGGCTCTGGGGGAAGGACCTTGTCATCAATCTCCCCCTGGTCTAGGAGCTTCTCAGCACAGGGACCCTGGGTCCAAAGGACACTCTCCGTTCGCAGCGCTTCCTTCTTTGTGGCATGAGGTCTCTCTCTCTTTGCTCGTTTTTCTCCCCTTTTATCTCTTATAAGATAAAAGGTGATACAGACCACATCCCAGGGTAACTCCTTTTACATTGGATCAGGGATGTGACTGGAGTAAGCATGCTGCATCCCACCCTAATCCTCTTTAACACAACCTAATGCTGCCTCATTAACCACAGGTGAAGATTAGGATTTACAACACAAAGGAAAATTATATTAAATCACAAAATGGAGGACAACCACGCAATACTGGGACTCACAGCCTAGCAAAGTTGACACATATTTTTGGGGGACACAATTCAATCCATGACAGTTGCTATGAGATGGAACTGACTTGATGGCACACAATACACACATACACAAGTCTTAGATGTCACAGTTAGCAGAGATCAACAGGGATCAGTATTATTTGATATTTAAGAATTTTTTGTACCCTGACTTAGCAAATTAATCCCATTCATTCTAAAAGACTATTAGGATCAATTTAAATAATAAAGTAATATCCCTGATGTGGCTCCATGGCACATAAGATCTCCAAAGATGAGTTGCCCAGGCAAACAGAGAAAGGTGAGAAATTTCTGGTAAAGCTGGATGATACAAGTTCTTAAAATTTTAAATGCATGTGAACTAAGCAAAACCGAAAGGATTATCTGCGTTAGAAGCCTGGAATCCTTTAAAAGAGATGCATATAAACTGCAGGCATGTTGACATAGAGAGGAACTCTGGAGGAAAATGTGTTCTAAAATCTTTAAGAAGGGAACTTACTGCAGTATAAAAAATAACACCTTAGTCTTATAGAGTGCTCGTGAGCCACAGTGAACATGGGCACGTTATAGGACTTGAACCCAGACACAGCCCTGCTCTAGACACTCTGCTATACTGTCTTTCTTATGTTGCAAAGGTAAGGAAACCCTACTTACAGAATGATGATGACTTTCAATCATACTTTTTCCATTTTTATACACTTCCTTAAAAACCTGGAAAACTAAACCAGTTGCTGTCAAGTTGATTCTAACTCATGGTGAGCCCATCTGTTATGGAGTAGAAGGGTTTTCTTGACTGTAATCTCTAAAGAAGCAGATCGTTAGGCCTTTCTTCCGCAGTGCCACTGGCTCGGTTTGAACCGCCAACCTTTCAGTTAGTAGCTGAAAGGAAACCATTTGTGCCACCTAGGGACCTGTGAAAAACTAACCAGTTGCCATCAAGTTGACTCTGACTCAAGGCAACCCTACGTGTGTCAGAGTAGAACTATGCACCATAGGATTTTCAATGGCTGACTTTTCAGAAGTAGATCATCAGGTCTTTCTTCCTAGACAACCCTGGGTGGACTTGAACCTCCAACCTTTCAGTTAGCAGCTGGGCAAAATTAACCATTAGCAGCACCCAGGGACTCCTCTGTGAAAACGAATGGGAAACAGTATAAAGAAAAGATATCCTGAAACGATACTAAGCCCAGCTCAAAGATCATTCATCACACCATTCATCTGCCCTCTCCCTTTTCAGCCCCTTCTCTTTGCTCTCTTGCAAAAGTCAATCTATGACAAGTAACTTTCCCTCTCAACCGCCTACTGAATCTGGGCTCATGGAAATAAAATAAAACACAAAACAACTGTTTTTCATTCAGATGATAGCTCGCTGCCCAAAACTGTCACTGCCCAGTGCAAGGCCCTGGTAAGCTCTATCAGAATCAGAGCTAAAATTAATCTCTGTACTTGGCTCTTGTCAATGGGGCTGTGGGCCTAGCATATAAATATCTCTAATTCCTCAAAGCAGATTAGTCAGTTGTAAAGTATGAGCGTGGAAAATGGTACCATATGTCTATGGCTTTTTCCAAAATGTTTTTTCTCTCCAAACTTAATATATACACACGGAATCCCCATGCCCTGGAAAGCACTCAAGGGGAGGCAGAAACTCACATGCAGGAGGAGGTGATACTTGAGTATCCGCTGGACTGGTTTCAAGAGGAAGGAGCCCAGTGGCAGGGAGTGCTTTAAAGTCTCCTGACGCTCCCTGAAGAATTTGGCCAGCATCTTGTTCCTCATACACTCCGTTAGCACTGCCACTGATCTGCAAGAAGAAGAAATATAATTTTTTTAATCCAAAGTGTAATGCTCAACATGGATACTAAAAGGTTTAAATGGTAGCGTAAGTGTAAATGTCCTAAAACAGGTAGGGTAGCTACAGAGGTCTAGCTGGACTATAATGGTTTTTGGCAAATTGAAAAAGGTGCCCCTCTGGGTGGTAGTAGTGCCACGGCCAGATGGCTTCTAAGAAGTTAAGTGGTTTCCTTCTGGAAGATGCCGTTCCCTCACCCCCATGCCAGGGGCCATGGCATGGCAAAGGGGACTTGAGCTGGATTCAGCCACCAGTTGTCCCCTATCTGGGAGTCTCTGTGCAGTGTTCAAACTGTACATCTGTAGTCAGTTTCTGCAGGCTAGCTTGCATACAGTTGGCACTCTTGTACTAAGAGAAAGGAGCTCCTTTTTAGATGAGGCACTGGTGGTTCAGTGGTAGAATTCTTGCCTTCTGTGTGGGAGACCTGGGTTTGATTCCCGGGCCAATGTACCTCATGGACAGCCACTGCCCATCTGTCAGTGGGGGCTTGTGTGTTGCTATGATGCTGAACAGGTTTCAGCGGAGCTTCCACACTAAGATGGACTAGGAAGGAAGGCCTGGTAATCTACTTCTGAAAATCAGCCAACGAAAACCCTATGGATTACAATGGTTGAATCTACAACTGATCACTGGGATGGCACAGGACCGGGCAGTGTTTTGTTCTGTTGTGCGTGGGGTTGCCATGATGTGGGGCCAACTGGATGGCAGCTAGTAACAACTTCTCAGTAGATGCAGCACTGTGTTGGGACACTTCTTGTTGCCTCTGCTGGTCACATTTGTGTAATACACTCACTGCACACCCTTATGGTGGCCCTCCTTAGAGACCTCTTCCCACAGGTCAGGCTCTCTTTCTACCTCCAAGTGGTTCTTTTCATTGTACACCTGACTTCTGAAAAGCCTAGATCCTCTTGCTTCTTGGGCCATATACCTCACTGCAGTGTATCAGAAAAGTGGGTCAAAATTATTTCTCCATCTCAGCTCCCCCAAAAGTAATAAATTTAGCCTCCAAACCTCGTAAAAGAATTGTTAAAGTAATGCTTGTATGTTACACATAAAACAAGCTAGCATGCCTGTGTAGACACACACACGCATGTATACACATCTATAAATTAAAATCTTATGGTCTTCACAACTTTGAAGGAAGCAGGTGGAAATAATTTCAACCCCTCTTCCTCTAAGTCAGTAATAAGTTTCCAGGATTAATTTAGAGCATCAGATAGAGCCAAACACCATAGTAAGATTCCTTAGAAGGAAGAGAAATGGAAGCCTCATAATTTAGCTATTAGAATCCCCTTTGTGCCCAGCTGCTTTGTTCAAACTGTTCAAACTGACTTTCTTCTCTTAAGATGAGATTTCAAAACTATTCTCTGCATAAGGTCCTTCTTCATGTAACCTAGGAAAGTTTTGAAGGTTCTTTAGAGTCAATCAGCTGCCCAATAGTCCTTTGGCTGCCTGGAGGCTCGAGCCCCTGTCCAAGAATAAAAATCTGCAATGAACCATCAGCACACCGAGCCTGGGTTCTCAGAAGAAGCCTGAGCGTGTGGAGGTATCTGAGGACAACGTCCTGGCTCAGTCTGTGCACCTCCCGGGGGAACAAGGGGAGGCCTGAGCCTCTTCAAAGTGAAGTCACCGGGGCGTGACTGGTATGAAGAAGGTGGCTATCTGTCAAGGTAGGCTGGAGACATTTAATATCACCATCCCTGGATTCAAAGGGGAAGGAAAATTGTCAGATGGGCTGCAACACCTGGCTCTCCTGGCTTGTTAAGACTGGGGTAAAGGAAGCTTGGCTTCGGACAGCAAACTGATTGGAGACAAGAGGGCGAGAGAAAATACTTTCCTGTGATTATGAAAGCCACACAACTGGGCAAGAACTTGACATTCTTGCTTCCAAGCATCTCTCTGCTAACGCATGTTTCTTTACATCTTAAAAAACAACAACAAAAAACCAGTTGCTCTTGAGTCATTTCCGACTCCTGGTGACCCCATGTATGTCAGAGTAAAACTGAGTTTCATAGGGTTTTCAATGGCTGATTTTTCAGAAGTAGATCACCAGGCCTTTCTTCTGAGGCACCTCTGGCTAGAAGCCAAGAGCATTAACTGCTTGCAACACCCAGGGAGTCTTCCATCTTCAAAGTCAGACTTAGAAGAAAAATACAATTTCCTCCAGGGAATTGTCCTTGACTCTCCTCACTGGGATGTCTTCCCCATACCTCAAGTATCTTTAGCTGCTACTTCACATTACTGTGCGTGTACTACATTAACTGGTATTTATTGATATGGACTTCCCTAACACGCTACAGGGTCGCTATAACTCGGAATCGAATTTGACGGCAACAGGTTTGGGTTTTTTTTTGCAACATGCTATTCCACAATTGCATTTGGCTGAGTTCTGATCCTCAGAAGAATAGAAACTGCTTGAAGGCAAGGGATGCATTTGTATCCTGCCAATACACACTGAGTTTGTAAGAGGACTCCAAGCATATTGTTGTTGGTGGTTGCTGTCCAGTTGATTCTGACTCATGGTGATTCCACGTGCGTCAGAGTACAACTGTGCTCCATAGGGTTTTCAAGGCTGTGAACTTTTGGAAGCAGATCGCCAAACCTGTCTTCTGAGGCACCTGTGGGTAAGTTCAAACTGCCAACCTTTCGGCTAGTATTCAAGCATTTAGCTATCTACACCACCCAGGGAACAGAACAGGCTCTTAAAAAAGCTCTTGTGCAAATGATGTTATCTTTCCCCAACCCTGAAGCAGCCTAACATAGAAAAAGGTTGCCTTTATTTTATACTCTCCTTTCTCTTTTTTTTTTAATTGTTTTTTTGGATGAAGGTTTACAGAGCAAATTAGTTTCTCATTAAACAATTAACACACATATTGTTTTGTGACATTGATTGCCAACCCTACAATGTGTCAACACTCTCCCCTTCTCAACCCTGGGTTCCCCATTTCCATTTGTCCAGCTTTCCTGTCTCCTCCTGACTTCTTGTCCTTGCTCCTGGGTTGGTATGCCCATTTAGTCCCATATACATGGTTGAGCTATGTGTATTACTGTTTGATTTATGGGCCTCTCTACTCTTTGGCTGAAGGGTGAACCTCAGGAGTGTCTTCAGTGCTGAGTTAAAAGGGTATCTGGGGCCATACTCTCACGGTTTCTCCAGTATCTGTTAGACCAGTAAGTCTGGTCCTTTTTGGTGAGTTTGAATTTTGTTCTCCATTTTTCTCCTGATGTGTCCGGGGCCTACTCCTGCAATCCCTGTCAGAGCAGTCAGTGGTGGTAGTCGGGCATCTAGTTGTGCTGGAGTGAACTCTCCTTTCTTGGTAAGTCGGAAAAATCTAAATTTGCAGTTTTGGAAGTTTACATTAAGAAGTTATTTCTTAAATGACATGTTTATAATGAAATTTACATCAATATAATCCCCCTACAAGCATCTCAGACCCTAATAATTGGGTCCAGAAATGTGTTGATTCCTCAGAATTTGAATGTTTTTTCCTTTCCCTCAGGAAGAAATTTTGTGGAGAAGTTGAGAGCTGACTGTGATTTCTCTAAATTAGGGTGTGGTACAATCCTGGTTTTTGGCTTAAGGACCATGAGATTTAGTTGAAGTCTACATTAATTTCCTGATAAGTTCAGCATTGAGATGGAAACAAATACCTTAAGAGAGAAAATTGCTTAAGTGAAACTGTAAGCTATGGGTAGGTCTGCATATAATGATGCAGTGATGAATGTGCTAATCTTTTTCTTTTTTTTCTTTTTTTTAAGGAAAAGCATGGTTGGCCACTGACCAGATCACCAAGGCACAATATCCTGGCCAACATTTAGAGGAGACATCAGTAAATCTGGATGGACCTAGAGTTCCTGGGTGGTGCAAATGGTTAATGTGCTCAGAGTTAACGCAAAGGTTGGAGGTTTGAGTCCACCCAGCGGAGCCTCCAAAGAGAGGTCTGGTAATCTTCTTCTGAAAAATCAGCCATTGAAAGCCATACAGAGCGTAATTCTACTCTGACACACGTGGGGTCAATGTATGTTGGCATCAACTCAATGGCAACTGGGTACTGGTTAAGTCTGGGCCTCTGGCTTCATCGGCCTTTTAATCTGAAGTGGCATCTCTGGGTCAGTCCTCAGCAGGGGTCTCCCATTCGCTCCTCCTTACCAGGGCTGCACTAGTGGCTCAGCCTGCTTGCTTCTCTTCTGGGTAGATCCCACCACCCACTTCATCCTTAGAGATTTTTCTCTATCAAGACTGGCTAGAGACTGGGTAAACTCTCCCCAGCTCTCCTCTTCCTGGCTGGTCCCTAATATAAGAACTCAAGTTTTGCTAATCATGTGGGGAAATAGACAGTAAAAAGACATGCGTGGGGAGGGGTGGACATTCCAAAGCTTCAGAAACTTTACAGGATGTAGCAGCATGAGGTCTGAGGCTGGGGAAACCTAGGTTCAAGTCTTTGCTTGGCCATTCATCCGCTCTGTGGCCTTGGTAAAACCAATGTACCCACTCGAGCCTTGGTTACTTCACCCATAAAATGGGAATGATACAGAGTGGTGATGAACTGGCACTTTTTGAGAACCTACTAGATACTAGGCACTGTGATGGATGTGCTGCTTTTCTTTAATCCCTCAATATCTCTTTGATTGTTGGGAAAGTTACATTCAACAACATTTCATACTTAACAGCATTTAGCACAATGCTCAGGACTCAGTAACTGCTCAACAGACATCTTTTGGAGAAAAAATAAATTCCCACAGTTGTGGCCCACGGTCTTGGGCTCGACTCTCTTACTCAGATGGCCAATGTGTCGTCCAGGGTATGCTCCCTAAACTGTCCTCCTGCCATCGGTCTCCCGTGTAAGCAAAACTGAAACTATCACCCAAGGAAAGGACTCTGTCCCCTTTGCTCATCCTGGCTTATAGTGATCTGCCTCTTCTGTGAGTACTATAAAACTCATATAGCCTATAAAACGGATATAGCAAAAATGTGACATATTTTACCCCAGCTAGATTATACAGACTCATTAGCAAACAAATAAACAAACAAAAACCAGTTGCCATCAAGGTGACCCCATGTGTGCAGAGTAAAACTGCACTGCATTGGGTTTTCAAGACCATAACCTTTCAGAGATGCCCCTGGGTGGGTTCAAACAGCCAACCTTAGAGTTAGTAGTTGAGCACTTAACCCACTGTACCACCCAGAGACACATCAGAAGTGCCTCCCAAATTCTTACAAATGTGGCACACATATAGAAAGGTAAATAGACAGGGCTCACAGCCAAACACAACAAGTTCATTTTGTTTTCCACTGAAGACACCTCGAAATCTCTTTGGTCTCTTTCCAAGTCTTTCATAATTTTCCCTATGTGGGCACTCCAGGCCACAAGCCCTGCTGGGAGCCCCAGTCTGGAGGGATCAGTATCTGGGTGCCCCTATAACCCTTTCTCCATCTGCCTAAGTTGCAAAGTCCTCTCTTAAGAACAAGGACCACATGTTTGCATTTCCCCCTAGTATTCAGCACAAAACCAAAAAACCAAACCCATGGCCCTCCAGTCAATTCCGACTCATAGCAACCCAATAGGACAGAGTAGAACTGCCCAATAGGGTTTCCAAGGAGTACCTGCTGGATTTGAACTGCTGACCTTTTGGTTAGCAGCCGAACTCTTAACCACTACGCTACCAGTGTTTCCATGGTGTCAGGCATATACCCCTAACAACCCGTATATTTGAAGACCAATTTGACACAATATGAAAGTGCAGAAAACTGCCCGTGCCCGTCCACGGTCCATACCTTGGATAGTTGGTGCAATACTGGGTATAGATGTGGAACTCTTCACTCTGCAAGGACACAAAAGAGGCTTTTGTGGGCAAAAAGGCCACAGACATCAACATACACTTAAAAACAATAAAAAAGCAGCAGAATTCATTTCTTTAAATCTGTTGCTCTGATCACACAGTCTGTTTCCTGAGCCCATGTGGCTGCCGGCTATGTTTCTGGGATGATCCATTTTTTTTCTACCTGGTTGTATACTGAGAATCCACATACATTTGAACTCATTTGAGTTCAATACACATTTACTGAGCATCTGCTGTGCCACAGTGAACCGAAAGCAAATATGAAGATGAAAATAAAACGTCTGTCCCAAGATGCACACAGTCCCAATGTGCAGCATGGAAGAGAAATATAAATAGATAATTTACACACCATGTGGTAAGAACCCTGTTGGAAGTACGTGCAGGGTGAAGAAAACGGCTTTACGTGTCCAAGTCTTTGAATAGGTAGTTTTCTCTGCCCACCATCTTTTCTGCCTTTGTCACGGAACAGCCACCATGCGTAACTTTGAGACTGAAATGAGGCTTTATTTCCTTCAAGAAGCCTTCCTTGAGTGCCCAGGCTGAGCTAACTGCTCTTCCTCTGGGCTTCCACAACACCCAATACTTACCTCTCCTGTAGCATTTACCAAATGAGCGTGAAATTTTCTGTTTATCTATCTCCCACTCTAGACTGTAGAGTTCCTTCAGGGTAGTAGCCATATTGTGTTCATCTGGCACATAATGTCTGTTGAACTACTGAACTCCCATATTTCCTAGATGCTGAAAATTATTTGAGGGCAGAATCCAAGTCTACTCATCTGTACACATTCGTCATGGCCTCACTGCCTCAAATGCAAAAAGCTTTGACTGACAAATGTGGGATTCTTGCCTTTTGCTATGATCAGATTCCCACTTCCCTAGTATCTCTTTTTATTTCTGTGGCCATCTTAGTCTTTCAGATGCCTAATCATTTTTATTAGGTTTTGGGAAATACTAAATTAATACCTTCTGCTGATAAAGGATATGTTTTTAAAAAGGTAAAATCATAACTTCCATGTAAATAAAAAATGAACACTGTCAAAGACTGTATTTAACCTATTAATGAATGAATAAGGCAGTAAGATATTATAACTGACACAAAAGGGAAATAAAAGTACCACACTTAGGCCAATCAGGAATGCTGATATGAATTTACAAATAGAAATAAACTGGCTTTTTCCATCAAGATGGGTGGGTGAGGAAATCAACCGTCCCTCCACAGAACAGAATTCATTTGTGTATGTGTGGTCAAGAACCATCTGCATCATCATCACTTACCTATAATTAACCAAGTTGTAAAATAATTCAAGGACAATGAAAAATGCAGAGACCCCACTGAATCACATAATGTAGAAGGGGAAACTGGAAAGTACTTAGTTTTCTATTGGAGTGGTTAAGAGATCCGCTGCTAATCAAAAGGTCAGCAGTTCAAATTCACCAGCTGCTCCTTGGAAATCCTGTGGGACAGTTCTACTCTGTCCTATAAGGTCGCTATGAGTTGGAACTAACTCAGTGGCACCTAACACCAACACAACAAGTAATCCTTTTGGTTGCTTTCAAAGTCTTTGACAATTTATCAGTACACAGAGAAGGGAAAGATTCTTATAGATGAGTAGGTGAGGTGGCAGAAGCTAGGTTTTTAGACTTTTAATTGTGTAAGACTGTCCGTCAGAATGAATAATTCAAGACCAAGAAATTACTAGCTCTTACAAAATCTAAAATGAAATCATATTTTGTTAAAGAGCCACAGACTATTTCTGGAGGTCTTTCACTGTCTGCTCTTTCTGACTTTTTACTTCCTTTCACTTTTTAAACCACTTCATGCTGTATTCACATATGACTTCAAGACATTCCCTATTTTTTGGTAACTAATGCTTGAATTAAATTTTTCAATTTTTCTGATTTTAAAGAAGTCTCTACTTTTCTTAGATGTCTTCCTGTTAAACTCAACTAGGATTAGAAATAAAACTTTTTATTATGGAAAGTTTCAAACATATATAAAAGTAGAGAGGATGGTATAATGAATTCCCGTGTATCCATCACACAACCTCAGCCATCATTAACTCATTATCCACAGCCCACCTCCTCTCCTGCTTCCCCCATACTCTGAAGCAAATTCTAGGCACCGTATCATTTCACTCGCAAATATCCTAGTATGTATGTAAATATTATAGACTGAATGGTGTCACTCCAAAATATGTCTTGTAAATCCTAAAGCCCTATTCCTGTGGATGTAATCCCATTTGGGAACAGGTTTTCTTTGTTATGTTAATGAGGCCATATTAGTGTAGGGTCTGTTCTAAGTCAATCACTTTTGAGATGTGAGAGCAGATTAGGCACAAAAGAGAGCGGACACAGGAGGAAGACCAACACTATTTGAAGACAACAGAGGTAGATCAGTCTACAGGCCCACGAACTCCAAGGATGGCCAGGTAGAGACGCTGGGACAAGGATTTTCCCCCAGAGCGGACAAAGCCTTCCCCTAGAGACGGTGCCCTGAATTTGGACTTCTAGCCCCTAAACTGTAAGAAAATAAATTTTTGCTTGTTAAAATCACACACTTGTGGTATTTTCTGTTACAGCAGCATTAAGAAATTAAGACAGTCTTTCAAATAAGGATTTTTTTTTTAAATTGTGCTTCAAGTGAAAGTTTACAGTTCAAGTTAGTTTCTCATACAAAAATTTATACACACATTCTTATGTGACCCTAGTTGCTCTCCCTATAATGTGACAGCACATTCCTCCTTTCTACCCCAGATTTCCTGTGTCCATTCAACTAACTCCTGTTCCTTTTTGCCATCTCATCTTGCCTCTGGACAGGAGCTGCCCATTTAGTCTCATGAATCTACTTGAGCTAAGAAGCACTCTCTTCACGAGTATCATTTTATGTCTTATAGTCCAATCTAATCTATGTCTAAAGAGTTGGCTTCGGGAATGGTTTTAGTTCTAGGCTAACACAGAGTTCGGGGGCCATGTCTTCTGGGGTCCCTCCAATTTCAGTTAGACCATTAAGTCTGGTCTTTTTACTAGAATTTGAGTTCTACACCCTACATTTCTCCTGCCCCATCAGAGACTCTCTATCGTGCTCCCTGTCAGGGCGGTCAATGGTGGTAGCCAGGCACCATCTAGTTCTTCTGGTCTCAGGCTGATGGAGTCTCTTGGGCTAATATTTTCCTTGTGTCTTTGGTGTTCATCATTCTGCTTTGCTACAGGTGGGCTGGGACCAATTGATACATCTTAGATGGCCGCTTGCTAGCTTTTAAGAACCCCAGATGACACTCATCAAAATGGGATGCAGAATATTTTCTTAATAAACTTTGTTATGCCAATTGACATAGATGTCCCCTGAAAGCATGGTCCCCAGACCTCCACCCCTGCTACTCTGTCCCTCGAAGTATTTGGTTGTATTCAGGATACTTCTTAGCTTTGGTTTAGTCCAGTTGTGCTGACTTTCCCTGTAGTGTGTGCTGTCCTTCCCTTCACCTAAGATAACTCTTGTCTACTATCTAGTTAGTGAATAATCCTCTCCCCTCCCCACCCTCGTAACCATCAAAGAATGTTTTCTTCTGTGTTTAAATCTTTTCTTGAGTTCTTATAATAGTGATCTTATACAGTATTTGTCTTTTTGCAACTAATTTCATTCAGCATAATGCCTTCTAGATTCATCCATGTTATGAGGTGTTTCACAAATTCATTGCTGTTTTTTACCGTTGTGTAGTATTCCATTGTGTGAATATACCATTATTTGTTTATCCATTCGTCCATTGATGGGCACCTAGGTTGTTTCCATCTTTTTACTATCATGAACAGTGCTGCAATGAACATAGATGTACATATATACGTATTTGTGTGATGGCTCTTATTTTCTCTAGCACATATTCTAAGAAGTGGGATTGCTGGATTCTATGATACTTCTATTTCTAGCTTTTTAAGAAAGTGCCAAATCAATTTCCAAAGTGGTTATACCATTTTATATTCCCACCAGCAGCGTATAAGTGTTCCAGTCTGTCCACAAATAAGGATTTTTTTTTAAAGAAGCTTGACTACAATATCATTATCACACTTTAATAATTCCTTAATATCATGAAGGTTCACCACTCACTATTTAAAATTTCTATTTTCTTAAATTTTCTAAAATAATTTGCTTGTTTGACTTAGAATTCAAATAAGGTCCATATGCAGCAATTGATTAACATCTCTCTTAAGCCTTTTAATCTACAAGTTCCCTCTCTTTTTTTTTCCTTTGCAATTTAGAAGTCTGTCCCATTTTGCTACATACATTTTCACCAAAATTAAAAGAAAAAAAAAAAGAAGTCTGTCCTGCAGTTTCCCACAGCTGTAGCTCTTAACTGCTGTGCCACCAGGGCACCATTAATTCACTAGGAGTTGCAAAATGGTGACATTTCTAATTTTATTAGTCTGGCTTCATTTATTAGCCAGAATTTTTTTCCAAGAAAGAAATTTCCTTGTATTAACCATTGGTTACCCTGCAGTTTGTGGTTTGTATAGGAAAGGCAGGATAAACGCTTGATTCTTCCCCTTAATTTCCAAAATAGTGAATTGGTTCTCCGGTATGCTGTGAAGGTGACTGGTTTGTTTTTTTAATAACACCATAAATTTGTGAATATATTTAACGAGTTTCAATTGTTTTCAGATAATAATATCTTTGTTGTTGTTAGGTGCCATCGAGTCTGTTCTGACTCACAGCAACTCTATGTACAACACAACGAAAACACTGCCCAGCCTTGTGCCATCCCCACAATTGTTGTTATGCTTGAGCCCACTGTTGTAGCCACTGTGTCAATCCATCTCTTTGAGGGTCGTCCTCTTTTTCGCTGACCCTCTACTTTATCAAACATAATGTCCCTCTCCAAGGACTGATCTCTCCTGATAACACGTCCAAATTATGTGTGACAAAGTTTCGCCATCCTTGCTTCTAAGGAGCATTCTGGCTGTACTTTTTCCAAGAGAGATTTGTTCATTCT